ATAGTGGTTTAATTATTATAGTAATCTAATTATTACAGCAGTCTTATTATTATAGTAGTGTAATTATTATAGTATGCCTATTATTATAGTATTCTAATTATTATGGTAGTTTAATTATTATAGCAGTCTTATTATTATAGTAGTGTAGTTATTATAGCAGTCTTATTATTATAGTAGTGTAATTATTATTATTATTATTATTATTGTAGTATTCTAATTATTATGGTAGTCCACTTATGGGCTTGCGTGCACCTGTGGCGTGGACACGCGTTCCATAGGGCGTCTAAATTAGTTCTCCCGGATACAATCATCTCCATGAACGCGATTTCCTTTCGTGTTTTATTTGTCATTATACGCTCGTGATAATATTAGTATTAACAGCTACACTCGCGGATAGATGGCGCCATCGTCTGCGCGTCTGCCAACCGGGTTGCCTCCACTGATCTCTACTATACTAAGTATAGTAGTAGTATTAGTAGTAAGTAGTAGTATAGTAGTAAGTATAGTAGTATATAGTATAGTATAGTAGTATAGTAGTAAGTATTAGTAATATTAGTAGTAAGTATTAGTATAGTAGAGATCAGTGGTTGCCTCCCCCAACGTGTTTCTTGATATAATAGGTTCTTGAACATCAAATCAATAATCTGCCGCCACGGCGCTCCCTGTTCCACATAGAAAGAGAGAGAGAGAGAGAGAGAGAGAGAGAGAGGAGGAGGAGGAGGAAGAGGAGAAGAGAGGGGGAGAGTGAGCGAGGGGGGAGAGAGAGAGAGAGAGAGCGAGTATCAGTAGATTCAGTACAGTGCCGTCTGCTGTGGTATTTAGATTTGCACGCAAACTTGCGGCCGTGGCAAGGAGCGTGGCAGCAGCAAACGTCGCGCGCACGACAGAACGTGAGCGCGAACGTCGCGTGGCTGTCATCATCATCATCATCGTCATCATCAGCAGCATCGTCATCGTCATCGTCATCGTCATCGTCATCATCATCAGCAGCAGCAACATCATCATCAGCGCGCGCGCGACCAGGCGCCGAATGTCACCGGACACCTTGTGTATGGCGAGACGAAGGTGTGTGCATCGCTCGCCGTGCATACATTAACACATACATTACGGTCACCTTGGTTTTTTTTTGTACGTTCCTCGTGCCGTGCCGTGCCGTGCCGTGCCGTGCCGTGCCGTGCCGTGCAGGATAGGGTGTTTTGGGTTGCATTATTGTATCTAGGGGAGGACGTAGGCCTACGTGTGACCGAGAGCGCCATGCAGCCTGCCTGATTAAAAACAACACTATCGTGATCCCCTCTATACTACTGCTGCTGCTGTTTCCTAGCAGCAGATTTCTCCACCAGCTCGCGGGTAGCTACGTGCGTCACGACGCTATATATTGGACGGACCGTTCTTCATCTGTTACATGCATGCGACACATTCCACTGCAATATCAAACACAGTGAGGGGGCAATCGCTGCCTCCATGCGCGCGCGCGCGCGTGTGTGTGTGTGTGTGTGTGTGTTGTGTGTGTGTGTGTGCTGTGTGTGTGTGTGTGGTTGATGGTGTGTGGTTGTGTGGTGGTGTGTGTGTTGTGTGTGTGTGTGTGGTGCTGTGTTTGTGTACGTGTGCGCGCGCGCGCGTGCGTGCGTGCGTGCGTGTGTGTGTGTGTGTGTGTGCGTGTGTGTGTATGCGCGCGTGTGTGTATGCGTGCGTGTGTGTGTGCGTGCGTGCGTGCGTGCGTGTGTGTGTGTGTGTGTGCGTGCGTCTCCATGCACACGGCGCTGACATCCCATGCTTCGTACAGCAGTGAGAGAGAGAGAGCGCGCGTGTGTGACAGCAGACTACATCCCGCACGTCTGTCTGTAAGCGTGGCTTCGCAATCAGCGCGTCCGCAGCCTCCGAACGTATTATCAGCCGATATCTAATGACGTCAACTCGCGTCCAGGCACGAGAGCTGCACACGACTCGCAGGGGGTGAGGGTGTGGGTGGGTGAGGGAGGGAGAGAGAGGGTTAGGGTGCGAGAGGGTAGGTTAGGGTGAGGGTGGGTGACGGTGAGGGTTAGGGTGAGAGAGGGTAGGTTAGGGTAAGGGTGGGTTAGGGTGAGGGTGGGTGAAGGTGAGGGGTGAGGGTGGGTGAGGGTGGGTGAGGTTGAGGGTGAGGGTGGGTGAGGGTGAGAGAGGGTGGGTGAGGGTGAGGGTGGGTGAGGGTGGGTGAGGGTGAGAGAGGGTTAGGGTGAGAGAGGGTGGGTTAGGGTGAGGGTGGGTTAGGGTGAGGGTGGGTTAGGGTGACGGTGGGTGAGGGTAAGGGTGAGGGTGGGTGAGGGTGAGAGAGGGTGGGTGAGGGTGAGGCACCGTATGCGCGCCTCTAGACGAGGGGAGGAGGAATGAAGAGCAATGCTGCGGCATTCGACTAGAAGAAACTGGATAGCAATAGCGAGATGTAATATCGGAATAGGGCGATAATTAGTCATCGAATTTATCGGATTCGTCGGTTACGAGCGTCATTCGTGCATTGAATGAGAGACAAGGACCCAGCGCAGGTGGTCTCTCTCTCTCTCTCTCTNAAACTAATATAAACTATTATAAACTATTATAAATATAGTTATTGCAGTTGAAATGTTGACGGAAATGACGTCAAGCAAAGGACTGCTCGCTGATTGGGCCGTTCTGGCTCAGTCAGCAGCCACCCACTTTCCTATAGTAAGAGGTTAACGCTCTAGTGAGTAGGCCCTAGCGGCCGTTACGAGCAGGAGCGGTAATCATTAACGTTAAGCTTTTCGGAGCTTTACTCGTCGCCTCCCTCAACCCCCACCACCCTCACACCCTTACACTATGAAAACCACTCCTGTCGTTTTGTAGCTCGCTATTAAATTATACCCACTTCTCTGAGTTCGTTCTACGTACTTGTCTATTAATACACTGCGTTTGTTGGCCTATAGTCCCCTCCCACCGGCTGTAAAAATACTTAATAATAATAGCGACGCGAAATTCGTATGCGAGTGCGAGCGCGAGCGCAATTTACACCCCTCTGTAAAGTGTGGAGGTCCTTCGCGTTAAAAAAAGAGCACAGTGTCTGTCCAGGTGTGCATCAGACCACTTAAATCAACGAGCCTAGTCACTTCGACTTTTGCCATTTTGCAATTGCAACTACTAGCGCCGCCTATAGTTTGTGGTCGGAACTTGGATATGGCGTGTATGTTTACTGTTATAACGCTTATAAGATCTTCTCGTTTGATTAGTAAAATAATCACAAGCCGCAACTGAAATTTGTTTCGCAGGGATGTAATCTAATTAAAGAGAAAGTATAACTTTGTTATAGGTAGACTAACGACTATTAGTAGTAATTATGAAGCAAGTGTAGGTGGCTTTACAAGTTTGTTTACATACCGGGCGGTAGTCGGTATAGGCCCCCTAGCCGTATCATGTATGTTATGTCGAATCTATGATCTTGCAGTCATATAGCCTATAGGCCATAGTCCTATCGGGTTATTTACATTACTGTCATAGTGGCGGGAAGTTGGAGTTGCAGTTGTAGTATACGGCAGTGGCTGTATATTGGTGGATAGACTGATAGCTAAGTAAGTGTGGCAGATGGGGTCGTTGTCGTATCAGGTACTACAGATATGTACCCGAGGTACATATATGTATACACAAGTGTACCTGACCAATGTTGTTTCTACATAACCGTACCGCTGCGCTCCATAAATGCTGAGCATAAATGTACCCAGGCGGGAAGTCTCGTTCAGTCACGTGGTATTGTCATAAATGCCGGAAAACGGTATAACATAGGAAGAATTTAGCGCCTTGTGATTAGCTGGAATTTGGCAATATGTCAACCTCCATGACTTGTAGCCAAAATTCCGAATTATCTACCAAACACCGTGAAGTCAGGTGTAAACTACAGGGGCGTGTACAGGATTTGTACCAGGTGGGAGGGGTTTAACCGTAACCTAAACTTGCGAGCAC